ACTACACTCCACCATCACAGAGAACCACAACCACTACACTCCACCATCACTGTGAACCAGCACACAGCACGCAGCCTCCGTGCCCAAAGGACTATACATGTCCAAGCTATACCTCTGTCGAGCCTCGTTGTCATATATTGATTTAGGTCCAACATTCCCGCCTCAGAGAAGACTGCCATCTCCAGCGTTATGTCATAAAATCTTTTGTGGGGGGCCACTAACATTCCAGCAGCTGGCTTCCTGGCCCAGCTGGCTTCCTGGCCCAGCTGGCTTCCTCGCCCAGCTGGCTTCCTCGCCAGATCCACGTAATACATCCTGTCCATCCGCTTCCGCGTCCTTGAAATTCAATCGTGAATGAACTTCTTCCTTCATCTGTTATTTTTCATCCATTCATTCAACGTGGGTTAATTAACAGCTCCATAAGTCTTTTTTCGTAATTAACATCTACAGACTTTTGCATACACTGTACCTCATCCACAGTTTAATGCACTGGACCTCATCCCCACCTGAAAGTTTTCCAAATTTCATCTTCTGCAGTGATGCATTGAATGCTTTTCTGCTTACATTCTATGTCATTCTGTTATTCAAAGTTATCTCACCGAAAAAAACAACAGCTGTGTACTTGGCTTGCGTCTCCATCCACCAGACACACTCAAAAAAGGTAAGTGGCTGGTGGATTCAGCACACGTTCTCAAGGTATATAGTGACGAATATATGTGACCTATGAGACATATAGAAGAGCTGTGAACGTGTACATGTGTAACGGACCAAAGAACGTATGTATTCTAAGGAAAACACTTTGAACAAGCACTTTTGAACTACTACGAAATACAAATGCGTGTAGATAATGAGTATTGCAGAGGATGTGTTTGTAACTAGCAATTATACAGGCTTATGTATAACTGTGACGGGAGAAGAGGGAGTTACATTCAGTTACAAGAAGCGTTATATACTTACAGGACACTTAGCAGTGTGTGGCGAGGGCGGTGGTGGGGGGCCTGGGGTGGTGACAAGGGGGGTGGGATGGTTAGGGGGCGTTGCCCCCTTACTTTGGGGGCATCCGTATGTCGATGACGGGGGTGAGGTTGAGGCTTGTTCCTGGATGGTCTCCTGCAGGAGAAGAAAGGAATGTCCTTCCCTTCTGCGAGCTTCTTCCTTCTCAAGTCAGGGGGGGCCGTCGCCGCCTCCTCCTCGGGGGGTTAAACTTGAACCAAAGTTTCTCGTTCTCTCTGCTTCGTCGCCTCTAACTTCACAGTCATCCAGGGAAGTTTTTTCTCGTCTTTTCTCCTCCCTACGAATTTACTTTTAGCCCCACTCTCTTTATCAGTCTTCTCTTCTCCTCCTACTTCTCTCTCTCTCTCATCTCTCAGTATATATGTTATCGTTTCTCTCTTTTATTCTTGTGTAGGTCCGGACCTAGCGAGAGTGGAGATATTCTGGGCCGGCTCACAGCTGACAGTGGGAGCTGGCTTCTGCCGGCTCCAGCACCCAGCTGGCGAAGCCTCCAGCGGGTCGCCAGGTACCTGGAAGCCTGCCCCTTGTAGCTCCTGCTGGTGCTGGGTGCTAGCGGGTACAGCTGTGTGTGTGGCGTGGTGCTCCACACCTCTTCTTCAAGTAACACTACCACTGGAAGACGCGTATATGGATGTGTTCTGGTTTTTAACTAGAAGGCTGAATGGAAGTCAAAGATTTATAATGTTGAGATGGAGCAAGCTTTCTCACGGCACTTAAGGGGGTTACATACAACAAATCAAGGAGGTTTTTCAGTCTCGAAAATGTTCACGTATAAATACAGGGGCAGCACGACTAGCAGCTTCAATAGTTCTCTTTAATATCGTTCTCCTCGGCAGATGTGTTTCATTGAAAGCAGAGCTGATGCTGAGGACTCGACGGGTATAGCCGAGGTTACAGGCCCTCCAGTTCCTTATACGACGTGTGTCATAACGTAATCTAAAATCCCTCGTCATTCAGTTCCCAGCTAGAGAAAAACAGAGGAATAGACGACGTTGATTGGCGACGCAACAAGTGATGGGTGTTCCCGATTCTGCTCGGTTGCTACCTTTCCTCCTGTTTGATTCTAAGGGGGGCGTTGACCGGGAGTCTTGAATTCGAGAGATTTAGGGGGGCGTGTGTTTGGGTGGAGCGAGAAGCCTCGCTCTGAGGCCTCGCTGCCCCTGCGACGAGGGGTCACTTCCTGGAGGTGCTGTCAACGTGGTGGTGGTTCGAGAAGGGCATTTGTGATTTTCACTCATTAACTGGTATTTGAGGATATACAAATATATCAATATATCTGCTTTCTTAAACTCATTTATTACGTCGATCTTGTTTTGTTTTAAGTTTAAATATTTTTATGATGTTTTTCTTCAAATTATTGATCACGGAAGCGCAGGAGGAATCCTATTTAGTTACAATTCCTTATTTTTCGTGCAAATTATTATTTTTTTCACTTTATATTTATCCAATTTTGTAAGCCGTGATGTCTTAATACTTTATAGACATAGAGACATATATATATATACACCTTTGTCAAGTTAATTTCCACACATTCCTTACAAGACAAGGCTTGAGACCATAAGGTAATTAATCATTGAAATATTCAGTGACACCTGTATGTTCCTCCTTCAACGTTAATAAGACGTTATACGTCTGAAGACGCAAGACATATCAAGATGACCCAACACACACACATATGTGCACTGTGTGTGTGTGTATGTGTGTGTGTGTGTGTGTACAGATACACTCACACACTCGAACACTGTAACTGTCTACACTGTAGACACTGTACTAGTAGACACTGTAACTGTCTGTAGTTTCTACACTGTAACGAGTGCTGTACTCAGGCAGTCCCAGGGGGGGGGGGAGGTGGGGAGAGGTAGGGGGTGTGGGGATGATGCGGTGAGAGAGACGGGTGAGAGAGTGGGGGTGAGAGAGAGAGAGCAGCAGCAGTGCGTGAGGGGGAGAGGAGACGTGCGAGAGTAGTCGTCGAGGGGGGGAATAAACACTTGTCACCACCGCCAAGTCTGCCAGCCGACTGGCTAAGGTGCGGGTCGCGGGCCGCACCGGGGCTCTACACCCCCCGGCCCGATTACCATCCCCCCTCTCCCTCTCCCTCCCGTTCCCCCTCTCCCGCCCTCCCGCTCCCCTCTCCTACCCCCCTCCCTTAACCACGATAGCCATACTATTCCCCTTTCCATCAAACACTCTCCCCTCTCATGGGGGGGGGGGACATCCCTTTCCATCTAGCTACTTCCATTCCATTGGCTCCTTCTATCACATGGGCTACTGCCCACATATTGGCTACTTCCCTCACTTGGGGCCACTTTCCTCACCTGAGGGGGGCCACTTTCCTCACCTGAGGGGGGGCTACTTCCCTTACCTGAGGGGGGGCCACTTCCCTCACCTGGGGGGGCTACTACTTCCCTCACCTGGGGGGGCTACTTCCCTCACCTAAGGGGGGGCCACTTCCCTCACCTGGGGGGGCTACTTTCCTCACCTGGGGGGGCTACTTCCCTCACCTGGGGGGGGGCTACTACTTCCTCACCTGGGGGGGGCTACTTCCCTCACCTGGGGGGCTACTTCCCTCACCTGGGGGGGGGCTACTTCCCTCACCTGGGGGGGCTACTTCCCTCACCTGGGGGGGGGGCTACTTCCCTCACCTGGGGGGGCTACTTCCCTCACCTGGGGGGGGGGGGCTACTTCCCTCACCTGGGGGGGGCTACTTCCCTCACCTGGAGGGGCTACTTCCCTCACCTGGGGGCTATTCTCCTCACCTGGGGGGGCTACTTCCCTCACCTGGGGGGCTACTTCCCTCACCTGGGGGGGGGGCTACTTCCCTCACCTGGGGGGGCTACTTCCCTCACCTGGGGGGGGGCTACTTCCCTCACCTGGGGGGGGCTACTTCCCTCACCTGAGGGGGGGCTACTTCCCTCACCTGAGGGGGGGCTACTTCCCTCACCTGGGGGGGGCTACTTCCCTCACCTGGGGGGGGCTACTTCCCTCACCTGGGGGGGGCTACTTCCCTCGCCTGGGGGGCTACTTCCCTCACCTGGGGGGGGCTACTTCCCTCACCTGAGGGGAGGGGCTACTTTCTTCACCTGGGGGGGGCTACTCACACCCCTCACTACGGCTTCCCCCCTTCCCCCCCGCCCCTATTTTTTTTAGGGGGGGGGGGGAGTAAACACGAAGGAGAGGAGACAGGTAGAGTTTAAGACCTGTAATGATGATAGCAGGTGGGCTGTCTGCCTTGATAGCACGGTGTTATGATAGCAGGTGGGCTGTCTGCCTTGATAGCACGGTGTTATGATAGCAGGTGGACTGTCTGCCTTGATAGCACGGTGTTATGATAGCAGGTGGACTGTCTGCCTTGATAGCACGGTGTTATGATAGCAGATGGGCTGTCTGGCTTGCTGACACGATGTTATGATAGCAGGCGGACTGTCCACCCTGCTGACACGATGTTATGATAGCAGAGTGAGCTATCCATGCTGACACGATGTAATGATAGCAGGCGGGCTGTCTGCCCTGCTGACACGATGTTATGATAGCAGGGTGAGCTATCCGTGCTGACACGATGTAATGATAGCAGGCGGGCTGTCTGCCCTGCTGACACGATGTTATGATAGCAGGGTGAGCTATCCGTGCTGACACGACGTTATGATAGCAGGTGAGCTATCCGTGCTGACACTTTATGATAGCAGGTGAGCTATCCGTGCTGACACGACGTTATGATAGCAGGCGGACTGTCCGCCTCGCTGACACAACCCTTGTGTGAGTTTAGTATTTGTCCTCAGCTGACACAATCTTTTTGTAAGGTGATTGGTGTTTGAAAGATTGGATGGTTAATGTTTGTAAGGTTTTTGGCTGATTAGTGATTGTAAGATTGTTAGGTAAGTGTTCGTAACACTTACGATGTTCGTAACACTTACGATGTTCGTAACACTTACGATGTTCGTAACATTGGAGTGTGTTTATACGAATGGTTGTTAAATGTTTGTAGGGCTCTATGGTGTTTGCAATTGTTGTTTAGTGTTTGCAAAATTGATTGTTGAGTGCATGTAAGGTTGAGTGCATGTAAGGTTGAGTGCATGTAAGGTTGAGTGCATGTAAGGTTGAGTGCATGTAAGGTTGAGTGCATGTAAGGTTGAGTGCATGTAAGGTTGAGTGCATGTAAGCTTGAGTGCATGTAAGGTTGTGAGGTAGATAGACAGACAGACGTCAGTAGTGAAAATATTATGTTGGCTGTGACAGCATGATGTCGGCTGAGACAGCATGATGCTGGCTGTGACAGCATGATGTCGGCTGTGACAGCATGATGTCGGCTGTGACAGCATGATGTTGGCTGTGACAGCATGATGTTGGCTGTGACAGCATGATGTTGGCTGTGACAGCATGATGTTGGCTGTGACAGCATGATGCTGGCTGAGACACCATGATGTCGGCTGGGACAGCATGATGCCGGCTGAGACAGCATGATGCTGGCTGGGACAGCATGATGCCGGCTGAGACAGCATGATGCTGGCTGAGACAGCATGATGTCGGCTGTGACAGCATGATGTCGGCTGTGACAGCATGATGTCGGCTGTGACAGCATGATGTTGGCTGTGACAGCATGATGTTGGCTGTGACAGCATGATGCTAGCTGTGACAGCATGATGCTGGCTGTGACAGCATGATGCTGGCTGTGACAGCATGATGCTGGCTGTGACAGCATGATGCTGGCTGTGACAGCATGATGCTGGCTGTGACAGCATGATGCTGGCTGTGACAGCATGATGCTGGCTGTGACAGCATGATGCTGGCTGTGACAGCATGATGCTGGCTGTGACAGCATGATGCTGGCTGTGACAGCATGATGCTGGCTGTGACAGCATGATGCTGGCTGTGACAGCATGATGTCGGCTGTGACAGCATGATGCTGGCTGTGACAGCATGATGCTGGCTGTGACAGCATGATGCTGGCTGTGACAGCATGATGCTGGCTGTGACAGCATGATGCTGGCTGTGACAGCATGATGCTGGCTGTGACAGCATGATGATGGCTGTGACAGCATGATGCTAGCTGTGACAGCATGATGCTGGCTATGACACCATGATGTTAGCTGTGACACCATGATGTCGGCTGTGACACCATGATGTTAGCTGTGACACCATGATGTTAGCTGTGACAGCATGATGTTAGCTGTGACAGCATGATGCTGGCAGTGACAGCATGATGCTAGCTGTGACAGCATGATGCTAGCTGTGACAGCATGATGTCGGCTGTGACAGCATGATGTCGGCTGTGACAGCATGATGTCAGCTGTGACAGCATGATGTCAGAAGTGACAGCATGTCAGCTGTGACAGCATGATGTTAGAAGAGACGGGGACGTATGATGGTTCACCTTCACTACCTCCTCCTCCCTCGGGCTAAACGGGCAGGTCACTACAGCCCTCAGAGCCAGAAACCCCACCAGAGGGACCCCCATAACCCCCTCCCTTGTGCTGTGGAAACCCGCATGCCCCAAGCACCGGCAGAGGACATTAAATATGATACTAAACAATGCGGTCTAATGACACCAGAGTCGTCGGCTATCGCTATGATCGTCCATGTAATTGTTTTCGGCTCTGTCGTCCTGTTCCTCAAGCTCCTACGTCAAGGGGTACCTTTGGACAACTACGCTACATGCGGTAAGGAAGCACCTCTGTTTAGGTGTCGTGAGGTCAGGAACTAGCTGGTGGGTGATGGTGTGGCAGTGGGGTTTAGGGTTGGTATTGGGATTAGGGAACATTAAGTTCTGGAGGGTTGGTGGACTAGAGTTTGCTGGGCAGTGAGAAAGTATATTTTAGTCTAGAACACACACACACACACACACACACACACACAACACACACAGAGAGGAGAGAGAGAGAGAGAGAGAGAGAGAGAGAGAGAGAGAGAGAGAGAGAGAGAGAGAGAGGAGAGAGAGAGAGAGAGAGAGAGAGAGAGAGAGAGAGAGAGAGAGAGAGAGAGAGAGAGAGAGAGAGAGAGAGAGAGAGAGAGAGAGAGAGAGAGAGAGAGAGAGAGAGAGAGAGAGAGAGAGAGAGAGAGAGAGAGAGAGAGAGAGAGAGAGAGAGAGAGAGAGAGAGAGAGAGAGAGAGCGCCACGTACTGAACCTAGCATAAAGGCAGCCAGTATACTTACAGCCCTACAGAACATCTCTCACCTTTGACGGTAGGGGCTGCAAAACCTTATATGAAGCACAAGTTCACTCTCATTCAGAGTATGTACCCCTCTCCTGGTTCCCCTGTCCCCCCTCATCATTCATCAGGCTGTGGACAAAGTGGAGAGCCGTGCAATCAGACTCATCTCAAGTCTTGATCAAGTCTGGTTGGACTGGTCTGAACATCAGAGCCTGCAACACCGTCGTGATGTTGAAGGACTTATTGTTATGAACATGGCCAACATTTTCAAAGTTCCACACCTGGCCCAACTCCGTGGACAACCAGTAGTTGGTATCCGTAACACTAGGCTCTCAACCTTCAACAGCCTCATGCTGGAACTTCCTTTCTCAAGAACATCATTTCATCAGCGATCATTCACTCCGAGACTGACTCGCATCTGGAACTGGTTCCCTCAACAGATTGATACACGGGAGATCAGGATACCTGATCACATGAAGGCTCTGGCACACAGTTGGCTACAGGCTCATCCTCTTCCTTATATGATTGTTATCTAATGTTATTAATGAATAAAGATTATTCCTATTGATGCAGGTAACAGGCTCATGAAACAAATGGGTCTCTAGGAGTAGGTTTCAACTAAGCTGAGGTAGGATAACAACTCTTGCTTGCAGTTTCACCAGGTTCCTTATATGATAGTCCCCTATGTGATAGTAGTTTTAAAGGACACTTTTAGGATTTCAACTTTTAGGATTTTTAGGACGCCTGCTCCTGAGTCTCTAGGAGCAGGCGTCAGATGAGCTGAGGTAGGATAACAGCTCTTGCTTGCAGTTTCATTAGGTACTTCAAGTGACAGCCCTAATGAACTTTAGTCATAGGCAAAAAAATAAAACAAATAGACGAAGAGAGGCAGACAGGGAGACAGAGAGATGGACAAAAACAGACAGGGAGACAGAGAGAGATGGACAGAGACAGACAAGCAGATTGACAGTGAAGGAGGCAAACAGAAAAAGAGAATGATGAATAACGGGACATGAAGACCAACAGAGAGAGAGAGACAGACTGACAGTGATAGACACATATATACAGACACATAGAGACCGACAGACATATTGACAAATAGAGAGAAAAGCCGACATATAGATTGTGAGTATATCGATATTTCTCTACATCTCTCTCACTCACGTTGTGTATTCTCTCTCCTTCCTTTCTCTCCCTCCCTTTCTCTCTCTCTCTCTCTCTCTCTCTCTCTCTCTCTCTCTCTCTCTCTCTCTCTCTCTCTCTCTCTCTCTCTCTCTCAGACCAAGCCCACACAACTGGTATTGCAGTAATCTCACCCCAGTTCTGACATTTCAGACAAAAGGATCCCAATGCAAACTATACACAGGTTGCAAATACTGCACACTAACAAGGCTACAAGGCACTGTTGCTATTGTTAATTACTCCCGTTTAACAATCACTAATAACTACCTTTTCAGCGTGATAGCCGGGCTATATAATAGTCCCTTTATAATGCGCTTCAATTTTTTTTTTTGTTACGATGTATCTGAAAGGTAAAATAATTTAACATTCAGAACAAGAAAAATTAACAGGCATCGGTTGGTTAATTGTTTGTTGTGGGGGCTTTGTGTGTGTGGTTGTTTAGCTTCACGTGAATGGTTTGTTGTGTTTCATAACTCGTAATAACTGAGTCTAGGTATGTGTTTATAGGTGTGTACTCACCTAGTTGTACTCACCTAGTTGTGCTTGCGGGGGTTGAGCTCTGGCTCTTTGGTCCCACCTCTCAACTGTCAATCAACAGGTGTACAGGTTCCTGAGCCTATCGGGCTCTATCATATCTACACTTGAAACTGTGTATGGCGTCAGCCTCCACCACATCACTTCCTAATGCATTACATTTGTCAACCACTCTGACACTAAAAAAGTTCTTTCTAATATCTCTGTGGCTCATTTGGGCACTCAGTTTCCACCTGTGTCCCCTAGTGCGTGTGCCCCTTGTGTTAAACAGCCTGTCTTTATCAACCCTGTCAATTCCCTTGAGGATCTTGAATGTGGTGATCATGTCCCCCCTAACTCTTCTGTCTTCCAACGAAGTGAGGTTTAATTCCCGTAGTCTCTCCTCGTAGCTCATACCTCTCAGCTCGGGTACTAGTCTGGTGGCAAACCTTTGAACCTTTTCCATTTTAGTCTTATGCTTGACTAGATATGGACTCCATGCTGGTGCCGCATACTCCAGGTATAATTAAGTAATGGCCATATATATTAAGGCGCACATATTAATATTTATTAATATGTATATATGTGTGTGGATATGTGGGCCTGCGGGCTGCTCCAAGCAACAACCTGGTGGACCAAACACTCACAAGTCGTGATATGGCACTGACCGGGCCATGGGGGGCACTGATCGGGCCATGGGGGCCACTGACCGGGCCATGGGGGGGCCCGGTTGGACCTGTTGGGAGGTGACTCTGGGGGCCCTGGTTTACCTGTTAAGTGACTGTATCGGCCCCTGGTCTACCAACTGAATGGTGGGGCTGAACTGTGGGGCCCTTTGGTCCACTTATAACACCTCCTACCATTGTAACCCCTCCCAGATACCACTGTACCACTGTGGGTTTACACTGGTGCTCTTAATTATATTTCCTTAAACAGTCTAAACAATAATGACAGTTGACTGTGACCTAGTAACACTAATCTCGTACGTAACCAATGGTACCTTCAAGGATACGCTGAATCTCAATACAGAATAGTAACATGAGTATTGATAATTACTCATTACGGGATCGTCAGTGGCTCATAGGGGGGGACCAATGAGCCCTGTTGACTTGAATACCGAGAGATTTCTTGTGATGTAATTACTTACTGACGGTTTTCTTAAACCATTTAATACTGGAGAATTTTGGATCACACAAGGAGGGTTCAACAGCCTTGATGATCTTCACTGGAGATGACAATGGAGGGAAAAGCCAGAGACACATAAATATGGAAATTTAACAAGGTTTTATTTACTCGAAATTTATGATATTCTCCACAAATTACTAAGTCGTCTACACTGGCAAATTCCTAAGTCACTATCCCACACTAGCAAAATGGTAAGGTAGAGAGAGAGAGAGAGAGAGAGAGAGAGAGAGAGAGAGAGAGAGAGAGAGAGAGAGAGAGAGAGAGAGAGAGAGAGAGAGAGAGAGAGAGAGAGAGAGAGAGAGAGAGAGAGAGAGAGAGAGAGAGAGAGACAGACAGACAGACAGACAGACAGAGACAGACAGAGACAGACAGACAGACAGAGACAGACAGACAGACAGAGACAGACAGACAGACAGAGACAGACAGACAGACAGAGAGACAGACAGAGACAGACAGAGACAGAGAGACAAACAGAGACAGACAGACAGAGACACATTTTCCCGATTATTACACACACCATTTTAGAAGCTAGCTATAGGTCCCTGATCTACCTACAAAAAGCGTGAGCTATAGAAGCCCTTGGTCCACCTCCTTGGCGATGACTGTAGGCCCACGGTATACCAAGACCTGCCGCTACACTGAAGGATTCATCGCCGTAATACCTACCCGCCCACCTACGCCCTGCCCCTTCCCCCACCCTCCGAGGTACTGTTGTATCGGAAATCATTAGCATGATATCGCCAGGAAGACGGGTGACTGGAGCCTGGAAGTCCTGGAAATAAGAAACATACTGGCCGTCAAATTCTTCCTGCTCGAGAGGCAGGCCTTAGCTGACTGGACTCTATAGAGACCTGTGTCCTCTATACAGCGAGAGGCGGGGAGAGCTCTACCGAGATGAAGTGAGATAACCAGAGCGGGAATCTGTGAGATTGTGCATAGGTGCAACATATGGTGATACAGTGTTAACTTCCGCGGTGATACAGTGTTAACTTCCGCGGTGATACAGTGTTAACTTCCGCGGTGATACAGTGTTAACTTCCGCGGTGATACAGTGTTAACTTCCGCGGTGA